GAAAACAAGATAGTAGGTACTGGCTCTTAAGTTTTCCTTTCAGTAGATTGTGGTAAATGAGACTAAGCTTTTCTATGCCTATAAATGTTCTCTCTCTTTTGTGTGTGTGTTGAGAGAGAGAGATCGGTTGTCTTCCATATGGGCCTTAATCAGGGATTGAACTGCAACCTAGGTATGTGTCCTGACTGGGAATCAAACCCATGACCCTTTGGGATGATGCTCCAACTAACTGAGCAACACTGGCCATGGCGATATACATTGAATGGCCAGATAATTATGATCTCTGAACACATAATAATGTGGGCACTCAGTGTGTGTGTGTGTGTGTGTGTGTGTGTGTGTGTGTGTGTGTGTGTGTAATTCATGTATGGGTGGGGTCTGGCCTGCCTGTTGGTCGAACTCCTGGTAGAAGGGACAATTTGCATATTAGCCCTTTATTATATAGGACGTACACTGAGTGGCCAGATTATTATGTGTTCAGAGATCATAATAATCTGGCCACTCAGTAAATGTTCTTTTTAAAAAATGTTTTTTTAGAATTAGCCAAGTATAGCTTGCCCAAGTTACTCCATTGTGGAAGTGCAGTTCAGGACCTGGCCCACCTCTTTCACCCAGATAGAGGCTCCTGCTCTTAGCAGCTGAGGATGGAGCTCCGGTGCTCTAAGAGGGCTCGCCTGTCCTGTAGCCAAGGGAAGGTCGGGCCCCAGGGCCCAGAGCTGTGACAGGTGTTGATGGAAAGCTTAAAGAAGGTAAACAGGCAACACCTCAATCCCTGTGGACATAAAGGCTGTCTCTCCTTCTCTAGAAGTACTTTATTGTCCCCTGACAGATGTGAGGGTGCCCCAAGAAATGGAGCTTTAGAAAACCCATTTCTGTGGAAGTTGGGTAGGTACTGGGGAATTGGCCTTCAGACCTGGAGTCAGGGAAAGCAATTCTTTTCTGCGTCTTGTTTCTCCCCTTTGGCCTGCATCAGTCCAGCCTTGCTGTAGTGCTGTGTCTGTGGGGAGAAGTGGTTCCTCAGAGAGGAGGCTGGCCTTCTGTATCAAACTCACTGTTTTTGTAATCTGATGGCCTCAGTTTTGGCTTGAGTCGGAGTTTAATTCAGGGCTCAATAGTACCATCTAATATGTCTGTTTTCCTTATTCGTAGTGGTGTAACTGTGACAGGAAAGATGTTGGTGATGCCAGGTTAGTTAAAATATTTGGCATTTGCTTTTCCTACAGATAAAAGTAGAATTGCTAGGCCCCAGAAGAGAGTGAACATTATCTGTATTGCCAAACCCTGCTGTTAGGCTGGGATTGTGAGCCCTGAGAACCTGTTACACCAGGTCTTGAACTTCAGTAGAACCTGAAATGTGGAAGGGCCTCCTGTTTTGAATATACCTCCATCCTACTTGGTCTCCTTGCCATCGGACGCCCTGAACAAGCTGTTCTTGGAATCTCTGCCAGGCTTTTCCTTTATAACTGGCGTTGCATTACCTGTGCTCTGTGATCCACTTGTTACACCTATAATCCTGCATGTGGGGAGTCTGGAAGATAAAGGGGTTTTGAAATAGAATTGATTTTCTCTCCCTTTCTTGAAGTGGTGGTAGTTAATTTTGGGGGAAGAAAAATACAGCTTGTTCTCAAGTCACCTTTCTATACCAATTAAACAGTTTCAATATGCCATTCTCTGGGTGAAAGGGAATGAGGTAACATGTTTCTTTCCAAAAGGCATGGGACCTCGGTCAGTAAATAGAGGACCAATGATAACTATGGAATCTAAGCTAGGCAAATACCACACCGAATGAATGGTCTAAGGGCCAGGGCACTCAAGTGGAAGTCTGAAAATGCCCATGTCTTTATTTCTCTGTCAGTAGCACAGGACTATTTTATTGACCCATAAAATAAGAATGTACGACAGCTCTTTGGCAAAGGAATAATTTCCCTTCTCCAAGCATTTCAGACAAGTTTGAAGGCTAGTTTATAAAGGCCCATGTGAACTGTGTGGAGCTTTGGTCTGGAAAGCAGTTAAATTTAAGGTAAAGGGGGAAGAAATACTTCATAGAAAACAAATGCTGTCTGGTTTGGGGTTTTCTTTCCTCCGTGCCGCCCCCCTCCCTACTCCCCCCAGTACGGAGACCTTTGAGCATGGTATTGGTTTTAATCGTATGGGAATCTAAGCCTTTACTGCTTTCCTTGGATTGTTCCGGATGAATGGATGTTGTTGGGAAGAACTGAGAGCAGCTTGTTTTAAGCTTCTTTACTTGCCGGCTGTGGTGTGTGTGACCCTCTGACCAGGCCCCACAAAATGGAGGCTGAGAGCCCTTTGCTACCCTGGCCCCACTGGGTTAAGTGGGTAGGTCCATGGCTACTGTACAGCCTTAGCCTACCTGCTAGAGGCCTGATGGGCTTAGGGGCTGGCAAGACATGTGACATTTTGGCATTTTTAAATATCACTGCTCTACTTATAAGCTCTGTGCCCTTGATTAAGTTACCACACCTTTCTGAGCTGGAAGATCATACTTGTCAAAACAGATCTTTATAAGAATTAAAAGAGCAGCACCTGGCACATGCTTGATGCTCCGTCAGTGTTGGCCAGCCTGTCCTCCAAAGGCGCCTTAGGCTCTTGTGTTCAGTGATACTACCAAGCAACTCTCTAGCTGGTCTTTCGTGACTTTATGTCAGGGGAGGGATTTAGAAGCAAAAGCAATTTCAATGTTTTTCTCTGAGAACACAACACCACATACATGAACATTTGAATCTCATTTTTTTCTATTATTTTTAAATCTCCCCCTGAGGATACGTTGTTACTGATTTTTGAGAGAGAGAACGAGCAAAACATTGACCAGTTGCTTCCCATACATGCCCTGACCAGGGATCGAACCTGTAATCTTTTGTTGTACGGGACAGTACTCCAACCAACTGAACCATCCAGCCAGGGCATGCTTCCAATTCTTGGCCGTTTTCGGCTGCTGGTGTAAGCATGACCAAAGGGCGGTTTTTCTTGGAATACTGTTTCAGCCTCCGGAGCCAAGGCATTTTGTGTCAGCCCCTAGAACCTTAAATGTGGAAAGATTTAGGGAGGAACCTGAGATCCTGGGGGTGGGGATCTTACTCAAGGGCCGGACCCAGATATCTCCTGTTTCTTTTCTTTTTAAAATAGTTTTTATTAATTTCAAAGAGAAAAGGAGAGGAGGAGAGAGAGAAAGAAACATCAGTAACGAAAGAGAATTATTGACTGGCTGGCTCCTGCACACCCACACTAGGGATCGAACCTGCACCTACTCCGCCATGCTGGCTGGGCTGCTCTCCTCTTTCTACATAACCTGCAGTGCAAACTGCAGGACCAGCAAACCCCCTCCAGAGACCCCAGCCTCCCCTGAGACCTGGGCCTGTGACCAGATGGATGGCAGAACCCAGACTCTTGTGTCCCCAGGCCTCAGCAGCTATTTAAAAACTTGGGTTTAGCCGAAACCGGTTTGGCTCAATGGATAGAGCGTCGGCTTGGGGACTGAAGGGACCCAGGTTCGATTCCGGTCAAGGGCATGTACCTTGGTTGCGGGCATATCCCCAGTAGGGGGTGTGCAAGAGGCAGCTGATCGATGACTCTCTCTCATCGATGTTTCTAGCTCTCTATCTCTCTCTCTTCCTCTCTGTACAAAAATCAATAAAATATATATTAAAAATAAAAAATAAAAAATAAAAACTTGGGTTTGGAAGGACTAATATTCCTGTGACTTAAAGGGGCCTAACATTAGGTAGTAGTCTGAGAAATACCTCTTCTCGTTCAGTTATTAATTCAGCAAATACTTACTGGGTGCCTGCTAAGGGCCAGGTGGCGTGCTAGGAACATGGCAGCAAAGATCATACTGAAAGGGGTTCCTAATCCCTGGCAACCAAGACCTTTATTTCTTTTCAAGGAAACTGCCTTTTTTTTTTTTTTTTTTAAGGCAATCAGATTTTAAGTTCCCATAGCCCATCAAGCTAATAGCAAATATCATCTCACTGATTCCTGTCCCTCCTCCCTCCTGGACTCAGGATTCTTAAGTCATTGTCAAATCAGGAAGCCCCTCTCTGGTCATTTGTTGTGGCTGTGGCTGAGGTGCCTGTTTTCTGCTCCCATTTGGTCCCTTTGGTCCACGGGCCCTGCTGCTTCTGGCCAGTTTAGGGGGGTAGGACAGTAGTGAAGGTGGTCACCCGTTATCTTTGCCCTCAGGTCTTAGCACCGACCAGGTCTTTCCCAGGAGCACACCCAAGGAGGAGCATGGGGGTGGGGGAAAGCACAGGTCATCCCGCACCAACTTCATGCGGCTGCTTTTGGTGTTGGCACATCTTAACCGAAGGAAAAAGTGAGACCGATGCCTTCTCCGCCCAGCCAAGTGGCATAGAAAGTGCCTTCGAGAATTTGGATTAGTCCTTGTTATCATGTGGCAAGGGAGAGGCATTATGGGGAGAACAAAGGTCAGACTTGGGTCTACCTTTTGCTACCCATTGGCTTTGAGCAAGTCTCTTAGTCTCTCCAGTCATGTGGGTGTAATAGTACTCACCTGGGTTTTGGGATGAGGGTTCAAGAAGGTGTGCGCAAAGCTGCTAGTACCGGCCTGGTAGTAAGTGTCAGTAAATAGTTCCTTTTCTGCTGCAGTGTTTTTGTCGTTGATAAAAGTTTTGTCATTAGCCTGTAGTAACCTACACGGTAGAAGTTCAGGGGCAGCAAATGGATCTTTAGCTGAGAGGTGGTGACATTGTCAAGAAAGAAGGCTTGTGAACTAGGTAGAGGAAAGGTGAAAGGTGAGGAGTCTCTCCCCGAGGCTCCCCTCTCTGGATGGTGTGATTGAGTGAGAACCCTTAGCACCTTGAAAAGTGCTCATGTTTGGCATGGCAAGGACAGCCCTCAAGACTGGCCTGTGCCTCAGAGTGTCCCTGTGGCTCACCGGGAACTGTGGATTCTTTTACTTGGTTTCGGTTTTCAAATTGTACCTGCTGTGTCTACCGTCACTGACTGTGTTCACTCTCTTCCAGGGGCTCCACGGGCCTTACCCCTTCGGCCAGTCTTAAACGGGTGTCAGCAAGAAGAAAATTAACAAAAGACAGAAGGTCTGACTTTGGTGGGGGGCGGGCAGGGGATCCTAAGGATTGCAGACCACATCGCACGGACCTCTGGCTCTGACCGTCCATCCCGGAAGAAGAGGAAGAAGCAGAACAGACTAGTTTTGAGTAAACTCAGTGTGCATGTGTGAGTGCTGAATCGCTGGAGTGGTGTTGAGGCTACCAAGAAGAAATCCATGCAGCCACCTTGGGTTTTGTTTATTAGGTGTCAGTCTAACAAGTCATTAGGTCACCCGGGAAGGGGAAAAAAAGCTTAAAACGGGGGAAAAAAGCCATCTTTTTAAACAATAATTATTTTGCCTACAGACAGGTTGTAGTTTTGAGCACATGTTAATTTCCCCCCCCCTTCCGCACTTTTTACTTTTTTAGATAAGGGATAACATACTCTATAGAATAGCTGCTTGCTCTGGGAGCGATTCAGTTCAAGCTGGTGTGGAGTGGTGGGGCTCTGGGCAGTGCGGCAGGAGGGCATCATCTGTGCCACGAGACCCGGGAGTCTAATGGCATCAGCCATTGAGCCATCGCCTTTCCTCTTTCTCTTTAGTCTTTTGTTGATTTATACCTTTGACATTTGTATTCATCAACCCTGTGGCTTGTTACCATCAGAACCTCTCTGAAAGACCAAACTTCCCTATGCCCAGAGGAAGCCTTGAGGACGGATCTCGGGTGGCGTGGGAGTTTCTGAGGCGGAGAGGCCCTCTGCACACACTTGTAACAATTCAGACTGCTTTCTCCCACGTTTCTCCTGGCAAAGATGCCATCAGACTTGCTGCTTTTGGGCTTCTTCACCCACTGTGGCTCCCCGTTCGTTCTGTGCTGCGTTTATGCATGTGCCACGTGCACACACGGGTGTGGGTGAGCTCACCAGCAAGTGTGACGCGAAGGTCCCGTTCTTCTCTTGTCACACAACTCCCTTTCCTGTGTTTCCTCTGCGTTGTCTCTGAGGTGTTCTTGCAGCCTGTTAGTGGGGGCTGAGCCTTTGAGGTATGGAAATACAGACACCAGTGGGGAACTGCCATGGGGAAGCGCCAGAGTTGCTGTGTGACCTTAGAGACCACATTTTGATGAAAATGAGAGGCCCCCATCCTGAGCAGGATGCCTGGTTGTTGGGAGGTGGTGGGACCGGGCCGCCCAGTCAGAGCAGAATGGCTGGCTGCTCCCTTGGGCAAGTGGCCCCACTGGCATCCTATGGATTATGAGCAGGTTGAAATGTGGATATCTCCGTGGGAGGCTTGAACCAGGCTAGAACAGCTGTCTGCCAAAGATACAAGAATATGCAAAGTCCCTCTTCTCTTTTCACTCCCTCCTTCCCTCGAGTGTTGGTTGGTTTGATAGCCAGGGGATATGGATCTAGGATCAAGGGTGCGATTGCCTGCCTATTACCACACCCCAAGAGTGTGAGTCAAGGAAGGAGACCAGGTGATGAGTGGCTGCAAGGGGTCATACAGCCTTGATGTGGGTGAGGGTCTGCCTGCCTGTCTGTCTCTGTCTGGGTGTGTGAGTTCCAAAAATGTGTGTTGTTTGTTCCTCCTCATCCTCTTCTGAGACTGTTTTTTTAAAAGCTTGATTGTGAGAGATAAGCTTGTATGAAATTACCCCTTTGCCTCCCACATCCCAAAAATTAAAGGTGGGGGGTAGATTGTTGTCCACTGGAGAAGCCCTAAAGGAGAGTGGAGCCAGCCTGCTGAGCAGGGCATACAGCTGGGGCGGGGCTGGACTGGAGCACCAACTTGTGCACGCGAAGAGTGCCCCATTCCTGAGTGGAGAACCTGACAGGTGCCCGAGCCAGGGGCTCACGATGGCTTTTTGGCCGAAGGCCCTATTGGGCCCAGACTGCCGCTACTGTTGGTGCCAATCTCCTGGGACACTGCCACCCTGGAGCCCACCCATGCCCAGCATTCTCCTCGTTTGATAGCTCTCAAAGCAGCACATCTCCAGCTGCCCCTGGCAGGATCATGGGGGCTTTCCATCCCCGGATTTCCTAGCTTCCTCGTCTGCTACACGCAAGGTGCCCCTTCACCATTTCCCAGGGGGGTCTGCGTGCTGTTACTCATCAGAGGCATCCTGCTCCTCTTGCTTGTAGGCAACCTGACCTGGCAAGGAAACTGTCCCAAACACGCTGGCTTTCCTCCCAAGAACACACATTTCTGTACACATCCTCGCAGAGGACCAGAACAAGGGCAAGCCGTGGAGTGAGGCAGAGTGTCCACTGCTCCCCAGCAGCAGGACTGGCAGTGCCATTCATTCGGCCTCCTCCCACTGGTTTGAGGGCTGAACAATGCCCAGAGCCCCTCCTCCCCTACATAGCCTCTGCTCCTCTTCACCAAGCAGCAGCTGCCAGTGGGCAGGCCACCAGTGTCATGCCCACGAGGTGAGACCAACACCATCCCTTAGGGGCCTGAGTCCAGTGTGGGAGGAGAGGGGCTCAGGCTTGGGAAGAGCCTTTCTGTGTGCATGGAATGAGGTGTGTGGATGAGTGTGCACGCGTGCATGCTTTTTTTTTTCTTTTTGTCATGGGGACAGTTGAATTTGGGGCATTTTTTTTTTTTTTTTACAAGAATCAGACTTCTCTCCCTCTGTAAGGACTGGCTATAAACTTGAAGCCCGTCAAAGGCACTTCCAACCTAGAAAAAAAACTAAGCAAGACAGCTGGTGTGGCCTGAGGGTGGCCAAGGTGCAAAATGGGCATGAGAATAAATACCTCCCCAAATTCATTCTGAGCCCCAGCAGGAGAGGATGGTGGGGTTGATAGGGCTCAGAAAAGCAAGCTGATCCTCAGCCCCACCCTGCCTTGCCTTTCCTTTGTTTCTGTGGGTGAATGCTGGAGCAGCGCTGGCTGCCCTCCACCTGAACAGTGGTGTGTAGTGAGTAAGCTGGGTGGGTGTTTGTAGTGGGCTTCGTGGTGCCTGAGAGGAGATGAAGATGAGGAGGTTTTTCCTTACTGTATAAATGAATATTTGTATGATTAAATTAACACACAAAAAAAGTCCATGTGTGTCAGTGGGTTTTATTGTGCTCTGAAGCCCGCTGTACCTGCTTAGCTCCATGGTGGTTCTCTTTGGCCTCTGGGTCTGTCCCTTTTGCAAGTGGAAAAACCCTGCGGTTCGAAATCTGTTTGGGAAGTCAGTCCTGGGTTATAATTAGACTAGAGGCCCAGTGCACAAATTCATGCACAGATGGGGTCCAGTTGACCTGCCCCCATTGGGGTGGGGGTAGGCAATCGGGTGGGGCCAGCCCGGAAGGAGGGGTGCTCCCCTCCCCAGTCGAACTCCCTGTTGAGGGGCAACTTGCATATTAGCCTTTTATTACATAAGATTAGCTGCCATTCTGGCTCCTAGGACTCCCCGGTCCCATGTGTCTCTTGAGCACCACTCTATCCCAGCTTCCCTGGGGTCTCCAGGTTCTCCTTCTGTCAGATTATGGATTAGGGAAGTTTTTGCAGACTGGCCTGGGGTCCTGAGAATCAGGTAGGGACCACACTCCAGGCAACTGGCAAACATGTCTACATATGTATTGAGACAGGCCTATGACCTTGGCCAGGAAATGGGGGGGTGGATTACATGGTTGTCAGCATGAAAGAAACTTAATTGGCAAATATGGCAAATGGGGGTTCACTGGACCCATTCCTTCCTGTCTGTAGGACTCTTAAAAATTATTTTTAATTTATTGATTTGAGAGAAAGGGATGGAGGAGAGAGAGATAGAAAACATCTATGAGAGAGAAACATCTGTTGGCTGCCTCCTGTATGCCCCTTCCTGGGGAAGAGCCTGTGACCTGAGCATGTGCTGTTTTCTGGAACTGACCCAGTGACTTCTTAGTTCATGGGTCAGCCCTCAGTCCCTGGGCCCAGAACTCTGGTCTGCCCTCAGTCACTCCTCTGCGTGGACGGGAGAGAGAGATCAGAGGGAAAGGAGTTGCCTGGTCTTACAGGCTTAGACCCGTGCCCTCAGCTCCCAGATGCTGGCCTTGTTTCCACTGAAATTGCAGACCCCCACGTTGGATTCTCACCCTGGCTGGCAAAGCTTCATGTTCTAAATGCTGTGGACCTGGATGTAAGCCGTGTCTCTAAGGATTAAGTGTCAGGGGTAGATGATTCCCTGGCCAATTCCCGTAGGCAGCTCAGTGAGGGAAGCCACAGATTGCATGAGGAGAATGTGGGCTTCACAAAGGAACTGGCCCCTGCCCCAAGGGCCGAGACTGACTCCTGTTTCTCTGTGTAGCCCTGATGCACAGCCCAGGGTGAGAGAGCTGGCCCTGAAACCCCCACCCCACTGCTGTGTCAGGGCCCCTGCGGCCTGCTCCTTGCAGGTGCCCCGGCCGTGTTCTCTGCAGGACGGGCCCCGCCCTGTCAGCTGGGTCTTCTGGCAGCTCAGGCCTTCCCCACCACCCCTGCTGCTGGACAGTTATTTGCTTGGCAGAATCTGTTTGTCTTTGGGGCTGTAACCTGTCAAGAAGTCACAGGCCCTGGGAGAAGGGAGCAGGTTCGGTGGTAGCTCCTGGCCCAAGCCATTCCCACGGGGGCTGGGTGACAGGGGGTGCTCTAAGCTGAGCTTCCGTCTGGGAGGCGGGGCGGGGGCGGCAGTGGCAGTGGTCTGGGCCCAGCCCTCCTGGCAAAGCAAACAGGTCCTCACAGGCCACCTCCCTGCCCCAGCTCAGCTTGTCCCTGGGTGCCTCCCACCCTGTTGTCAAGAAGGCCCCTCCTTTAACTGCATGCTGTGACCCGGCCACTTTCCCAGACTCGATAGCACCTGGTGTACAGCCCTGTCTGGCAGCCAAGAGGACAGGCACCAAAGGTGCCCATGGCAGCCCTCCCTTTCACAGCGGGGATGGGGAGCAGGCAGGACTGTTGGAGATGGGGGAATGTGAGTTTGGGGGTCAGGGCGTCCAGAGAACGGATTCTGACAGGCTGGCGTGACTGGCGGAGGGGTTTCAGGTGGCTCCTCTGAAATAATGGAGGCAGACTGGTCAGAAGCCGTGGCTTTTCTTAACTCCACGTGAGCTCTTAGTACGGAGACGCTGTGATCTGGGTAAGTGCTGCTCCAACTCGATGTCGTCTGCCGTTAGAGCGAATTCAGTCTCAGGACTATGAGCTCATCAGAGGAGTGTCAGGGGCTTTGACCTCACACACACCCCAAATGCCTGCTGGTTGCCCCAGCTTCAAGAAGACCCTCCTCAGTCTGAGTGTCGATGGCTGCAGCTGACCTCTCCTGGCCTTCCGGAGACCCGTGCCCAGTCCTCTCCCTCTGGAGCATCGTGTGGAGCAGACGGAGCTAGGTGCTGGCCAGGCCGGGAGTGGCCCCCACTCAGGAGGCAGGTGCAAGGGCATGGAGGAGCAAGGCCAGGGCCAGCACGATGTAGCTTAGTTCCTGGGGCCCTGTCCTCCCAAGGACAGGCTAGGCCTGGAGCCAAGTTCTAGGAATTCCTCCTGGCTGGGGGAGGAGAGTAGCTAAGAGAAGTGGGGCTGTGTCTGAGGGGGGGCCATGCTTGTCTGTACCAAGCCCCCATCCCGGGTCAGCACCCAAGACACCCAACGTCCTGGAAGGCTGGGCTGTCACTGCTCCGAGCCTCTGAGAAGCAATGCGCGCGCACAGTCACGTGGCAGTGAGACAGGGCCAGGAAGGGATTGTGGCTGCACCGAGGAATGTCTCTCAGTATGGCTGTCCTGAGCCATTCTGGGTGGGAGGGAGAATGTGTGGACAGCCACAGTAGGGGGGCGGGGGGCTGGGAGTGCGGCCACCTCAGAGCTGGTGCAGGGTGGGCACGATGTGGCCCACCTCTGGAGAGGGGGGACGCTGGCCTGGCCAGGCCTCCCCTCAAGTATGTTTCCCAAACCCCACCTTCCAGGCCGCGCTGTCTGCACGCCACTCCACGGAGGCAAGCATGGGCTCCAATGGAGGCTCTGCTGCTTGCCTCAGAGTCAGTGTCCTCATCTGAATCCAATAGATTCTTTCTCCAGAGGCATGAGAAGTAAAACATCACAAAAGTGGAGCATGTACACCTGGCACCGGGGCAGTGTCCAGTATGCGGTGATCTGCCACACCGGCAGGTCTGGGCTCCCGAGGAGAGGGGACTGGGACACTGGGCA